AACTCTATTTATAATATTTACTATAGATCTAGTGTAGTAATAATAATATTATAAGTAGTAATAGTAATAGAGCTTCTTATAGATTTAGAGGTAGACTTAGGCATTAATTTAGAGATATACGTAGTTAAGCCATAAATCTATATTCTCTCTCTAAAGATATTAACGTAGAAATAAGCTTTTAGAAAGTAATAATAAGTAAGCTCTTATTAGTAGAAGAGCTAGAAGTTAGAATATAGTATAATATTAAATAAAAGTCTTTACATTAGTCTTAAGAGTAGGTAAATTAAAAATAGCTTGAAGCTATAGTACTATATAGGTAAACTCTAGGTTTAAGATAATACTATACTATAGTACTATAAGTCTAGAGATATTTCGCGTAGTTAAAGTATAGTTTAGAGAATAGCTACCTTATATAGTATTTATATAAAATGTCTACTTACTTAGAGAATACTTCTTTTTATTCTATATCTTTCTTAATACTTCTATATACTTTAAAATATTTGTAAATATCTACTAATATATCTATTAACTACTAAGAATATATAGTATAGACTAACTTCTTTTTTATACTTAGAACAGAGGCTTCTATTCTTAAAAATACCTAAGCTATTAGCACAATAGAACGTATAACTATAGTAGAACTTACTACTTATAGAAGTAGCTTATTTAACTTTCTTTTTCTTACTAAAGACTCTAAGATAGTAAACCTAAAAACCTTAGCTATAAAAATAAAGCTAGTAAAGAGCTTCTAATATAATAGTATTAGAATTATAGTAGTAATTAATTTAGACTAAAGATACCTTATAGGCTTATATATTATAGCTATATAATATCTAGCCTATATAGACTTTTTTCTTCTACTACATAGATAATTATAGAAAAATAGTTTAGTTAACTTTTAATACTAGATAAGAAACTAGCTTGTTTAGTAGTTACACTAGTAACTTAAAAGAAGCTTAAGTTTATTAAGGTTACGCGCAATAACATTTTTATTAGCTAGAAGTAGGCGGCGCTTTACTAGCTTTAGAAGGCGCTAGAATTATAGTATAGTATTAGGCTATACTAATAGACGCGTAATAATAGATAGAGTAGATAGTTAAGATAATAGAGAATAGCGCAATATAGCTAATATAGCTAAGCTTACTAGGTAATTACGTATAGAATATAGGTTGCTAGTAATTATATAAGTATTATATAGGTGTCTTAGGTTTTCCTAGAGGCTTTATACTAGTATAAATAGACTTACTAAGTTTTCTTTTAGTGTTACTTAATTATATAAAACTAGTATTAGTGCTAGTTAATAATCTAAAGAACTATTAGTAATATAGATTAAATATTAAGCGTGTTATAATTACGCGCATAAAATTAGTTATCTTAGTAATTATAAAATACAGCGTAAAGTTATAAAGCGCAAATCTAGGCTTACGTTAGAGATTTTTAAGTTTACTATTAGGTCTAATATAGTAACACGTTATTACGTAATTCTAAAAAAAGTATACTATAGGCTCTATCTCTTAGGTCTAGAGAGAATAGTAGAGACTATAGCTTTACGTACTACTTACTATTAAAGCTAATAAGTTTAGAAGGCTTAACCTAGAGAGTAGAGCTAGAGCCTATTTTTCTTATTAAGACTTTACTCTTAGCGCGCAGAGTCTAGTAATAGTACTTATTATTTTTATAGAGCTACTTTTTCTTCTTATACTTACTATTAAACTTTATACTTTAAGCTATAATTCTCTAAGCTAGTAAAGAAGTATTAGTATAGCTAAGAGATTAATAAAGTAAAGATCTATATAGAAAACTTTAAGAATTATAAGAGTAATTACTTATAACTATCTTTACTCTTAACTAACTCTCTAGTAGATAAGCAGCCTTAAAGAGTTAGTAATTAAGCTCTTTATTATATATAGAGAAGGTATATCTATTACGCTTACAGCCCGCCTAAGCAATAGAATCTTAATTAATAAGTTATATAGTACGCTTATAGTACTTATTGCTATTATAGCACTAAAACTTACTATATAAGTAATTACTAAAGAGAAAGTTAAGTTAGAACTATAATAGTATATTAGTAAGTAAGTTAATTAGAAGAGTAAAAAACTTACTATAAGAAAAATAGAAAAGAGGCTTAAATAGAGTAGAGGTAAGATAAGATAGCTAAAGACTTAAGCGCGCAAGAGCTTATATATAGTAAGTAAGTAAGTGAAGTAAAAGACCTAAATAAGTAGCTTAAAGAGTTAGACTTAAGACTTAATACTGTTTGTTACTATATAAAAGAATTATGTAGTATAATAGAGAAGAGAAGAATTAAAAGCGCTATTATTGTTAATAAAAGTCTCTAATTCTGGCCTAAGCGCTTTTACGTGCGCTATAATTACTAGATTACTATTAAGGTAGTAATTATAGACATAGATAGTAAACTTTACTTAAGAAAGATTAAGAAGTAGATAAGAGAACTAGATTTTACTACTTAAGAACGTAGAAATATAGAGCTATTACCTATGTTTCTTATAATTATAATCTAATTTTTAGTCTACTAAGACTAATTTTTAGCTTATTAGGCTCTAATTAAATAAATGATCTCTTACTTCTATTAGTGTTAAGGCTAGATTAGATTATAATTTAACTGTAATTAACTATACTACTCTAGGCTTTACAATCTAGGCCTTAGAAGAGTAAACTAAGCATAGTAACTATAACTAGATTAATTCAATTAGAATAGATTAATAAATCTTTCTATTCTAGAGAGTATATTAGAGTAGAAATCTATAGATTCCTACTCTAATTACCTAATTATAATAATCTAAGCTACGTAATTGCTTAGTAAGTAGATACATAGTAGAAACTTTTATTCTAAGTCCTCTCTAGTAATTATCTAATTTATACACTTATCTTTAACTAAACTAATTAGGTCTCTCTAGCTCTAATATAATTATCTATTATCTTTACCTAAAAGATATAATGTAGTATTAGATACCAAGAGGTAGTATACTAAGTACTAGCTAGCTAGTAAAATTACCTAAGATTTTAAAGCTTAGAAAAAAGCTTTTCTTTATAACTTATAATTCTTTTATTTATAAATTCTTTTTTTCTAGTATATAATAACAATTTAAACTAAGAATAATATACTAAGTTTTTAGAAATCTAATACTACTATCAAAAAGTTATATTTAATTTTTTAGTAGGTTTTTTATTACTTTACTTTTAATTAGCTAGTAGCCTACTATAGTGTCTATTTATAGAGCAATTTCTAATAACCTATTACTAAGCTTGTTTTTGTCTTTCTAAAATTTAAGAAATTTAGTTAATAGCTTTTCTAGTGCTAAAGTTATAAAGCTTTAAATATAGTAACTTTTTAGATTACTCTTTTTTCATATTACCTCTCTGTATTACTTACTATTAAGAATAGTCTTTAGTAGTTATAAACTCTAAGTAATACTCTAGAATTAAAGATTTAAATAAAGCTAGTTCTTAAGAAGCTTCAGAAGTATATAGATATCTTTTCTATATTAATAGTTAAGGTAGTAAAAAGCCTCTTAAAAGGCGCTGAGATAATAGTGTATACTTTAGTATTATTTTAATAGTATATAACTAAGCTTAAAGTAGCTAATAAAGCTACTATATAATATAAATTATATAAATGAAAGTAGATATAGTAGAAAGAGATTCTAATAGTTAGTAATAATTAGTAACTATTAAATCTAAAACAATTTAGAGCATATAGTAATAGAAAGAAAGTAAAGAAAAGAGTATATATTAAAGTAGGTAAACTATTACAAAAACGCTGTAAACGCTATAGTAAGGTAGAAAATAAATTATACACCTATAAGTAAGATATAGTAGAAGTTTCTAATTAATTTAGTCTATTATAATTTCTAATTATAGTTCTATAGAGTTCTGCACTATTATGTATAGTTATAGTTTTAGTAGAGTCTTAGCAAAAGCTAGCTACCTACTTATTCTAGCTACTCGCTTATTACCTACGTTAAGTAGGCATTCTAGATTTCTCTTTAGCTACCTGTTTAAGGATCGCCTGCATAAGATAGAAGTCGTGATTGATGTCTTCACGTCTATTGTCTGCGAGGCTGTTAGCGACGTGTAAACTTAACGATTCATCGCTGGAATCCACTAGTAACGCCTGTAGCGACGGAGGGCATAATGTTAAGCTGGTCCTCTAGCTCGTGCCTAGGAGCAGTGGAGGCGCATCGCACTCGGCGCTGTCATTAGGCCCACCGAACGTCGGCGCTCCCAGGTCGTACTGACATGCTTGTCATCCCATTGCGGTTCAGAGATAGACAGGAATCCAGTCGTTCCATCTGTACCAAGCAGCGAGAACAAAGCAAGAGTCTTAGCGTCACGCCTAGAGCACTAGGCGCGCCCCATCAGGGCGAAAGATCCTTTAGCGTTCCGCTAGACAGCCCTTCAGCTATACGACGTATTCAGAAGACCGCGGCGCAACCTCTGCGTAACCTTAGTCACGCAATGGCAGAATTGAATTATGTCACGGTCTGACGACACACAGACTCCAATCAAGCTTAAGGCGGTCTTGATTCAGGGCTACCCAATATTAATGCAAGCCGTTGTAAACCAAGAACCACTCGCCTCTGGTAGGGTGGCTATACGAGAACCAACGATACGTCGTATTTTCGTACACATCGATATACGCGCACGCGGGTAAGAGCTTCGGGACTTGGTTGCATCGGGCCACCCCACGGGGAACTACTACACGGGTAACTGAGTCGTTCTGTATTTTGCATCGGAGTTAGAAGACCTAGAGAGCTAGGTCAATGTTATGAGGTCTGAGGCTACCAAAATTTCCCCGCTTCTCAGCGCATTCGTATGGTCTCCAAAGCTGCGAAAGGCGGTTGACTTCCGAGGTCTGCTTGCAGGCATCAGTATATAAGTCAACAGCACGGCCTTGAGTGAAGGATCATCTTCCATCCCCAGACTCATCGAGAGCTCTTTCCAGACTTCCGATATCTCCTGGGCTAGCATCAAACATGCATTTTGCGACCGCCCCAAGTGCCGTTTGTCTAATGACAGCCCTGAGGCTTGTGTCAGCTGTCGATCTGCCTCTCAACACTCCACTTTGTAAGCAACTTCAAGCCGACTATCCTACATGACTGGCTAACCGGTAGCAAATGTATAGCCTGGGATGAAGCATCAGAGAAGGCCAAGAGCTTTGTGTCTCAACTCACTATGTCGGAGAAGATTGGCCTTGTAACCGGGAGTTATGGTCGCGCCCCATTTCTACCTTGTGTAGGCGCCCTCGCACCAGTCGAACGGCTTAATTACACCGGTCTATGCATGTCAGATGGCCCGAATGGTGTCAACAGAGCGGACGGCGTAAGTGTGTTTGCGTCTGGGATCACAGTGGCGGCGACGTGGGATAGACGTCTCATGTATGAACGAGGCGTGGCTCTCGGGGAAGAGTTCAGAATGAAAGGTGTTCACGTTCTGTTAGGGTATGTCAATCCCTCGGCTCTACACTTCAAGTTTCTAGACTTACATCGACGCAGACCCAGTACTGGACCTATGGGCCGCCACCCTCGAGGTGGTCGCGGTTGGGAAGGCTTTGGCCCGGATCCATATCTTTCTGGTATAGCTATGAATGAGTCCGTTACTGGTATAGAAGCAACTGGTGTTCAGACAAGCTCAAAACATTACATTGGGAACGAGCAAGAAACACAGCGCAACCCGAGTACCAAGGACGACGGAACCGTTATTGAAGCGATCTCTGCCAACATCGACGACCGGACACTCCATGAGCTCTACCTCTGGCCATTCGCCAATGCTGTCCGGGCTGGGACAGCATCAGTCATGTGCGCCTATAGTCGCCTCAACCAGACATACTCCTGTGCGAACTCAGAAAGTCTAAGGACAATTCTCAAAGATGAATTAGCTTTCCCTGGATATGTAGTCTCTGATTTTGGCGGCACGCATTCCACAGTGGAATATGCGGAAGGAGGCCTAGACATGGAAATGCCCGGAAACATCACTGCAAGTGGTTTCACATGCTACTTTGGCGACAAGCTCCTTGAGGCAGTTCAGGCCGACAAAGTATCAGAAGATCGCCTCGAAGACATGGCAAGAAGAGTCATGACGCCCTATTTCCGACTTCATCAAGACAAGGACTTTCCGATGATAGATCCTGCGACTGGGCCCACACTTCTTATTACGCAGCTTGGGCATGGATCTTCAGCGGCGGGGCTGTTCACTGAGGTCCCAGCACTAGACGTTCGCGCCGATCATGCGCGCGGCATTCGCGAGCTGGGCGCAGCCGGCACAGTGTTGCTGAAAAATGTCAATGGGACACTGCCGTTGACAAACGAAACCAGCTTCGCTCTCTTTGGGAACGGTCTCCCAGATCCAACCATTGGATCGACATTCACGCCGGCACGTTCCGAGGACTTTCCAGAGGGTTACGAAACAGGCACCCTTGACATTGGTGGCGGATCTGGCACTGTGCGACACACAAGTCTTATAAGCCCACTCGAAGCCATACGGACCAAAGTGAAAGCTCTCGGTGGCCGAGTGCAATTGCTGCTCGACAACAATGAGATTGCGGCGGGGCGGTTTACGACCATCTATCCAACACCCCAAGTCTGCTTGTTATTCTTGAAGGCCTGGGCAACGGAAGGCGCCGATAGACCGGATCTGGATCTCCAGTGGAATGCTACCATGGCTGTTGAAAGCACAGCAGCACTATGCCCAAACACTATCGTGGTGACACATGGTCCGGGCGTAGTCTTGATGCCATGGGCGGATAACGAGAATGTGACGGCCATCTTAGCTGCACACTATCCAGGCGAAGAGATTGGAAATTCAATCACTGACGTCCTTTGGGGAACCGTTGAGCCCTCCGGCCGGCTGCCCTACTCCATTCCTAAGGACGAAGCAGATGCAGGTCCTCCGATTCTAGTTTTGCCCGAGAACAACACAGATCCTAGTGCATGGACGGAAGACTTTGTAGAGGGTCAGATGATTGATTACCGGTACTTTGACGCAAACAAGGGCAAGGAACCCCTTTATGAGTTCGGTTATGGGCTTTCATACACCGAGTTCGACATGGCACCGGCCCTGAACGTTCAACTCACTGTTGAATCGTTGGACCCTCATGTTGACAAGTCCATGGGTATAGCGCCAGGAGGCATGGTCGACCTGTGGACCAGTGTAGCTGTAGTGACAGTGAACGTCACTAATACAGGTGACCGAGCAGGTTCCACTGTCCCGCAACTTTACGTATCACTTCCCCAGGACACAACGCCCCCAGGCACACCTGTCAAGGTATTGAGAGGATTCAACAAACTATATCTTCGCAAAGGCGAAACGAAACAGGCGACGTTTGAGCTCATGAGAAGGGACTTGAGCTACTGGGACGTTCAAGAGAAAGAGTGGGTTATTCCGAGAGGATCGATTACTCTCTTATCAGGATTCAGCTCCAAGGACCTGCGAACAAACACAACCATCGCAATCTAATATCTCTTTCTACGAAGACAACATGGTGTTAGATATAATAGACTCATTAGCATCATTATACTATTAACATTATCAACCTCTGTATGCTAAATGAATCAATACAGTTGCTGCTCTATTGTAGTTGCCAGAAGCTAGAATGTCTACTCGTGACGTGCGTAAATTCCATAATCGGTCCTTGGCCTCTTCTCCGGATCCTCCATGCTACTGCCATCCTCGGCAGGGCCTCGCTTGCGTTTCTCGCCCCTTTCACCGTCTGCATCGTCGCTCTTATGCCAGAAGCGATGTGTCAAGGTGTCTTTGTCTGCAATCTCGGCGTCAGTGATATCCCTCTCCTCTCTCTGCTTCTCGCTCAATCCTGTAGGGAGACACTCGAGGTCCAATGGTTCGTTGTCAAGCCGGAAGAAGACACGCTGAACAAACTTGGTTCTTGTACGCCGGCGCGAAAGGTTCTGTCGTAGAGCAGACGACGAGCTAGTGCTGCTGAATGGAAAGTAGCTTCCGAAGATGCTGTGATCTTGCTTCTCCTCCACCTCAAGCATCTGCCATCGTTCATCGTCTAGTAGCTTAACGAGCTCACCTTTACCCCAGTCTTCGTAGATGTCGTTGGGTACATTAGCGGTCAACTTCTTCAGATTCTTGAATTGGGAAGCGTAGCGAGCCCAGAAGCGCCTCCAGCCAATCATCTCGCGTTTCATGAGTGCTACCTCGGCAGGTGTAGGGCGCTTCGCTGTACGCAGCCAGCCAGAGACACCAGGAACGTCGGCGGGGTATTGGATAGTGAGTTCATCAACCATGGCCGCGATGCACGTAAGACTGAAGACAGCTTGGGTCGGAAGCAACAGTTCACGCTTGTCCTCGTTTTCGCCAACGAACGTTTTGAAGTCGCCGAAATACAGGTTACCGTCAAGACCGGACGCAGGAGACATGTTTGTGCGTTCGCCAATGGAGATGCGGATAGGGATGTTGAGGCTTCGCAAAGTTGATATCATAGTCTGTATACGAGAAAGAATATCTTGTTTCGGAAGCATTGTCCGATTGGGCTCGAGATTGGCTGGAAAGACGTCGGACATGAGGTTCTCCCATGTGAGTATGGGCTTCCAGTCGCACTTCTCAGCTAGCCACCGCAGTGCTTCCTGAACCTCTGGCTTGGAGCTAGGGTCGCTGATCGCTTGGTCGTTGTTCTGCTGCGTGGTTTGGCCAAAGTGATGTCTGCGCTGCATGACATTGACAAGATGAAACGGGTGAAGTATGATGTTTTGGAGACTGTGTATGGGCTTAATGTTGATGTTTGGATACTTTCTGGAGATGGTCTGGAGGCTCTGCAGCAGGTCCTCAAACGAAGCTCCTACGCCCTGCACGACATGATTTCCCAGCACCATGTGGTCGCGTCCGCAGGCGTCGAACGTCTTGTCGTCGAATGCCTCTTCTTCATCACGATGGTGATGCCCTTGCGTTATTCGATACGGGATAGGACCAATTACATCGCGATCGCGACGGTCCTCCATCCATGAGTATAGACCAATTTCGACGTCTTTTATTCGCGACCAGGCTGTGGCATCGGTAGAGAAAAGGGATCGGTACGGGGCGTAATCGTGTATCCTCAGCTTCGTCATGCTGTCTGGGCAGTGCTTCTGCACACCATCCACAAGACAGCAGACGCGCTGGTGGACTTCCCATTCGTTCCATGTGCTAGGCTTGCCATCAGTACTGGGAGCGTTGGTAGAGAAACATACTGAACAAAACTTACTGAAAGCCTGAGTAGCGCTCTCGTATTGCGAGCGTCTTCAGCTTGCTGCAGATTGGAAAGATGACGTTGGCGACAGAACCACCGTCACGCCTTCTTGACATGCGGAAGCCCTGCTTGAAGCGATAGTCGTTGTATGAGTAGCTGTACTCAATTCGAGAGTGCGCAGTGTAGTCGGCCCAATTGGCAACCTCAAGCTCTTCGAGGCGCCCGAACAGCTTAGGGCAAGCAGCAGCCAGCATGCTCCACGTCCACGTCTCTTCCGGGGTCCATACGAAGTCTTTGATGGCCGAAATGTCTAAGCTGGTCAGGCATGGCAAGTTTTCTTCTATCCACTTGAAGTCCTCTATACTCGCCCAGTGTGACATTGCCAACTTGTGTACGTGTCGGCGGTTCTCATCGGTGATGCTCTCCTGGAAGCTGATCCACCGTATATTACCCAGGCCTCTATACTTCCAATCGCCTAGTCTGATGTCGCGCACATCGTTGAGTTGTATGGGGTATTTGTAGAGGAGCTGATTGACGGTGACGCTGCTTGCCATGCCTTTGCATAGCCTCTTCAGGCACCACGCAGCGTCGCGGTCGAGATAGTCCATGACACACTTGAATATGTCGTCGGGGAGTTTGAGGAGCATGCTGCTCTGGCTCGCGGCAGCTTTGAACTTGGGCTGATTGAGTGCATCGGAAGCCACAGGGCTACAGTCACGACTTGAAGTGAAGTCGGGCATATCGGGCGAGAGGTAGTCAAGATCGTGCAGGCTGAAGAGATTCATCAAGTAGCGATCGTAGCTCATGGAGGAGAAACAGTGGAGGTGGGAAGAGGGGACAGAGGAGTGAGGGTAGGCTGAGGCGCAGTATATGTACCCTAGAAGGGAGTTGCGCGCTTAGGCAACTGACTGTTCACGTAAGTGAGCGAGTGACTGGGTGAGTGATCTGGTAATGCGCATTTGTGTGCAAAGTCATGTATGGGAGTATTGCGAATGCCAGAGCACAGTTGTGGAAGGCGCGATGGTGTGGCTGGCAGGCGGTGCGCGTAGCGGCGATGCGGAGAGGGCGCGGAAGTGCGGCGCCGCCAAGACACGCGTTGTTCTCTTTCTTTCGCGCTCCGACGACTTTCTGCCTGCGCGAACTGTCGCAACATCACCACCCGCCGCAGACTCACTCACGCGCCGAACCTACGCGCATTCCCACCATGGCCGACGCCCAGGTCTTCGAAGAGACGTTCACCGTCACCTCCATCAACAATGAGAAATACGATCGCGTTTCCCGCATCTTCGGCACCTCGACCGATAGCCAAATCACCATGTCGCTCGACATCAACCACGAACTGTTCCCGGTCGAAGCTGGTCAGACCTTGAGCTTGGTACTGGCAACGACATTGGCGCTGGACGGCAGTGCCAAGGGCGACAACGATTCCATGTGGAGGAGTGTCGGCAAGCAGGGTGTTACAACACTGGCCGACATGTACGACTACGTGTGCTATGGGAAAAACTACCGCATGGAGGGTGGTGACGGAGACATCATGTGAGTGAAGCTCGCGCGGGAGCCTTTTTCGCAGCGGGTGCTGACGGCAACGCAGAAAGTATTTTGCCAGCTTCGGGGGGCTGCTTCTGTACATGGAGGGCCCTCATAGGAAGCTCAGCGGCCTCAAGATCGACGACATTTATATGCTCATCAAGCACTCATAGTACTAGTGCCTGCGCCTCCACCACGAGTCAAGGGAAGCAAGCATAGAATAGGCGTTTGGTAGCATTGTCTTGGTATTGGTATCATCTGGTCTAAAAGTTTCGGCACGGCGTCTGTATACCCCCAAAGGACTTGATAGATTTACTTGTCGCTCTTGCGCGGGAATATCACGTTTCTGTTCTCTTCTTCACAGTGTAGGGAACTCTAGCTTCCTGTGCAGTCGACTCACAATTTCAATGTAGTCGCGCTCATTCTCTGTCGTCAGAATACCGTGGCGTACCAGAAAGTCGAGCACCACCAACGCGCAGTTCGGCTTGAACTCGCCCTTCCTCATCCCTTCTTGCACCTCCTCCACACTCCACAAGTAAAACTCTTCGACCTCGTCATCGCCTGGCTTCGGGATTGCGTTTTCGGGGAGCTCGAGATCGTAGACATATTGAACTTCGGGCTGCATCAGGTTCGTCTCTCCTCCAGCCCTCTCGTCTCGGATATACCAGTATGTGACTGTGCCGCACGCCTTCGCATTCGCCCGTACGAACTCTTCATCAAGCGAAGCTTCCTCTCCACATTCCCTCACGAGGCTCTCAAACGGCGACTCACCTGATGCGATGCCGCCTGCGACCGCATTATCAAGCATGCCTCCGTACGTTTGCTTTGTTCGGGCCCTTCTCGGCGTCCAGATCTTTAAGTCCCCGTCTTTCCTTGTAAATGCCGTAAGATGCACACCATAGGTAACGACGCCAAACAGGCAACTAGCACTCCTTTCCACATTGAACAACAGCTCCTTCCCCAGCCCATACACAGCATACAGTTCATTCCGCCACTTGTCCAACACTTTGAAGTGGCCTGTCTGTCGCATAGCCAACAGCGTGGTTTCTACCACTTTCGATCGCTCGTCTGCGTTGGATCCGGCTGCAAGGTGAAGAATGCGAGCATCGTCATCGATTTCCCAGCCAGGCACTCCGCGGAAAACCTCGACGACTGATGGGAGCATATAACCCAGCGCATAGTTGTGGCCTGAGACGCGCAATTGGTAATACGTATTGATGGACGCGACGTATGTTTCTGAGTTGACGTCGGGATACGGGAAGCCGTCGCATTGGTTTATGAGATCGAGGTTCGTGAGAGACATTGTGTATAAGTGAGGAGGGTGTGTATTTTGGGTATGTCAGTGAAAGTGCTGCGCCAGCTGGGTGTTTATGAGCTGCGTCACACGCTTACCCACACAAGCTTGGGTGGGGGCGGGGTCTCGAAACAGCAACAACCATGTTGAGCTTCGTCCGTGCCTCCGAACGTTCTTTCCATGGACAGACGAGGTGGATTATGCAGATGATCCGGCAAATTTGGCAGTTACGATTCAATACACGTGTCACCTGCGAAGGCTCTCAAGCGTGCCGTGCTCGTATAGTGCTGCCCGAAGCTAGCAAGTGCACAAATTCTACGTCATGTTGCATCGGCTTTCTCCAATAACCCTCAGGACTCAACCTCGCCGTCAACACTCGATTAGGTTCTGATAAATAATGGAGGCCCAAACTTCCAAGGTCGTTCTTATCGTGCCCAAACAGCATGTCAAGACTGTGAAGTCTTCCCTGGAGCGGGCCGGACAACTTGACCGGAGCAGCAAGATCGTACCTGACTTGGATAGCGAGAGAGTACCAAGTGCAGTTGAGAGTTCGACTGGTTCGAGGCAAGGAGCTGATTTATCAAACTCATTCCAATCTGAAGCAAGCACTATGGCATCACCAGGAGAAGCCTCCCAGGCATCTTCAAATCTCACACAGCAATCACGCTTTCCAAGGCTACATTTCGACGTGATCAGCGGCGAATATGTCGACCACTCATTATTACAAGATAGATCTCAGCATGGAGACCAGACAGCCGGAGATCAGCTCTCGAGCCTGGCAGCTGAGGCGCCTGGTGACCGCGACAGTCGTATTACATTTCCCACCCTGCAGTTCGACGTGGTTAGAGGAGAGTATATCGAGCCTTCCACGATGATTACGGAAGGCGAAAAGGCTACGGAGTCTGTTCAACAACGCATGCGTATTCCCACCAATATTCCGTACACTACGAAAATGGACGGCTCAAACGAGATCTTGGACGCGGACGATTTGATGTTCAGGATAACAGAAGATCTCGCACTGGAAGAGCTTTCCAAAGACATATATATCTCCCATCACGTCCCGAGCCCGGCAGTATCCCTGCACGCAGCTCACAGAAGTCCTGTTCATAAGGCTTTAGAAACCGCGCTCGCCTTGTTCCTGGATCTTGCATCTTTATCAAGCAAGCTTACAGTCGAAGTACTTGTTACAGCGTTCCCGGATGGATATTCAATATACAAGCCCATGCTTCTTCTTCCGCACAACGCCTTATCTTCCGCACCGTGGCGAACTCTCATCGCCATCTATCCAGTAGACTCAGACAGCATGAAAGCGGTATGGCGGGATGTTGCAGGATCAGTGGGTGCGACACATATCGCCATCAATGCGCCTATACCGATATCCACATCTTCGACATCAGTGTCAGCGATCGCTGCGACTGGCAAAGAAAACGTACTACGTAGCCCAGCTAATCTCACACCTCTATACGGCAATTTCGGTCCTGCACCGACACCGCAAACCATAACCTCACCATCAGAAACAGACTTTGATGACGCTCTATGGGTGACTGCACGCCAAAACGGCATTTGGCAAACTTGGGCACCGCTCTACACGATGTTTAGCCGTGGCAATGTCAATGAGAAAGCAAGGATCTTGAATCTTCCTTCAGTGAACGATCTGGATGTTGCATCAACAGCCGTCGATCTTTACGCTGGAATCGGCTACTTTGCTTTCTCGTACAAGAAGAGTGGAGACGGCCGGCATGCAGGCGTCAAGCAAGTTGCATGCTGGGAGATAAATCTGTGGAGTGTTGAAGGACTACGGAGAGGAGCAGAGATGAATGGTTGGACCTGCCGAGTACTCAAAGGCACAGACATAGCACGAATTCGTGGAACTTCCGCAGTGGACGATCCCTACTTCCACCAAGCTGATCTTCTGGTCTTTCAGACAAGCAATGAGAGTGCTGAGACGGACTACGCGTTGCTTCCATTGCCTAAGCCACCTGTTCGGCATGTCAATCTTGGCTTGCTACCTTCCTCCAAGCTCTCCTGGGATGTTGCGGTTGCGATGCTTGACAAGCAGCTTGGAGGGTGGATCCATGTGCATGAGAATGTTAGCGTCAAAGACGTCGAGACGAAGCGAGAAACTATAGAAGAAGACTTTCGGAGCTTGGTGGGCAGGGACAATGCCATAACGGAAAGGAAGGTCCAGGTGGAGCATGTGGAGAGAGTGAAGATGTACGCACCGGGTGTTGTGCACTGTGTGTTTGATGTCATGATTGGAGGCGGTACCTAACATACTTTGAGCATCCGTCTATTGTCAATACCGCGGTATGGCTGCCAATATATAGAGCTAGACATGAGCTAAACCAAGAGACTACTTAAGACCTGGATATACACCACACGGCTCTAAATCTCACCGAGTCTTACTTGTATACTAGCATGGCATGTGGATTTCTCGCACTTCACTAATTGAAACAATGCTAAGAGATCTGATCATTCTATTGATGGTATCATTGGTCCCACACCTTGTGTATGCTATCACCTCAGCAGTACATCATATCAAAGCAAGAATCCACCCTAGATGCCGAAAGCAAAGGTCGCAACCTCGCTGTGAGAGTATTCCAACGCCCGCTAAAACGCAGCAAAGACCATAACGCAAAGGTCCAAAGGATATAATACATGGATAGCAAAATGTGAAATGGCCACGATAAAAAGAAAAGCGGGTCCATACTCTATTACCGCGTTCATTCGACCTCTGTCAACCACCTTCGAATTCCCTCCTTCAGGGAAGAGTCGTTCTCAGTTCTTGGATGAGTGGTCTGCGTCATCTTTGTCTGACCACCTTCCTTAGAAGGCTGTCTACCTCCGCGCTCAGTGGCTACGTCTTTGACGACAACCTCCAACGCTTCGAACAGCACACTCTTACAGTCAACATGCGGCACTTCGACGTGTGGAACCGCATCTGACTCCGCTCGTGTATCGCACCGACCCCTTCTGCTACTTGATCGAGAAGACTGAGCAGAGTTGACACGAGTCACCTCTCCAGACTGTGCCAGTACACGATCCACACCATCGATCAGTGTAGAATCGAAGTCCATGATGTCTTCAGTAACGAACTTCTCGGCGAGGTGGACTTCAGTCATCATTGGTACAGCGGTGCCTGAAGTATACGGGTTGCCGTAACGCGAGTGGCCGGGTGTCAAACCAGTAACGCCTGGTGTCATGGCCGAGGACTGGTACGTAGGTGTGGGGATCAGTTTGACAAGGCGTCGTAAGCTGATGCGCTTGATCGAAAAGGAACTTGTGTCAGCAATAAGAGCGGAGCATATATCCATCCAACGTTCAAGTGGACCAGACTCCAGGCTCGGGGTAGTCACTGTGCTCAAAGGTGTGGGCTCCGCGCTCATTGCTCGCTTGATGTCTCGTTCAAGCTCGCGATATGGTTTGATAGCCTGAACAGCGAAGTCAGGATGGAATTGACTCAGCCACCCAGCCACGTTGACGGGCTGTTCTGGCTCTCCGTGAGGCGTTGATAGAACTGATGACTCGCCAAAGCTAGAGCCCGGTTGACTCGAAGCTGACCCAAATCCTCCCATCAGTGGAGATTGTAGAGGGGAGTCGAAGTCGGGGAGCGGGAGGTCGACGTCAATAACGCCATCCTTTTCATTGACTGACAATTTCAAGTGGCTTTCAAAAGTCTTCTGGCGCTCTGGAATCGGCCTCGCCGCGGATGCAGGGATACCGGAACAGCCACCGTTGGAGTAAACACTGAGAGAGTCTTTCTCGCCAGAGTCGGGTGGAAGGGGAGATTCGACAGCATCGCTCTCGAAGACACGGTCCATAGAGAGCTCTTGCACCATGTGCTCAAGCTGCGAGCGAGGACGCTCTTGTCCACGAAAACCGACGCCATCATCGGTCGTTTGGAAGTACTCACTTTGATCGGTCGAGGACGAGCGACGGCCGCTCCAAAAGTTCATGAAGCCACTCCAGCGACTAGTGTTGCTGGAGTCGTTGCTAGCAAGGCTGGTTTGACCTGTACCGCTCCTTTGTAGGGTGCTGATCAAGTTCGTTGACGCCAGGCTATCACTGCTTTCAGGTCTCATGTCAGGCATGTTGCCAGACGACTTTGTTCTAGGGAAGGTGAAGTGAGCGACAGGCATCGCATCTTGTGGGGTGGCTGTTGAGGTGGTGACAGTGCTGCCTGTTGTCACTGGGCCTTCTGACATTGATGGGACGACGAGAGTAGTTCGGACTGAATGTGCAGAGGAACGTCGAGAGTGGCCGAGCGGTCGTACAGGTTCTGATGTCTCAATCAAGGCCGATTCGGAACGCTCGTCTACAGCCTGCGTAGGCGGCTGAAGCGTGCTCTGGGATTTCGGGGGCTGCAAAAGGATATTTGACATGCTCTGCTTACCCCTTGGTCCTCGTTTTATCTGTCGCCTCAGCGATGGCTGCCTCGAGGGCGGCATGTTGGTCGGAGGCGACTGTGAGTAAGCACGCAGGGACGCCGAAGTGCCAGGGCGTGCGTAAGTGCTATCGCCCATGGCAGACGCGTTGGGGGGTAAGAAAGCAGCCAGTAGAAAAATGAGTCTCCGAGCAGCCATCTTATCTGGGGATACGATGACGGTGCGGCTTGGAATGGTCAGATTCTCTCCAGCAGTTGCTTTCTGTAGTTCGCGATGACGCTTGCGGTGCCACCTGGGGCCCAGGACGTTGAGCCATTCGGTGTGGTTACCGAGGAAAGCGGTCAGCAAGTTGAAGAAGAAGAAGTTTTGTTCTCGTCGACCTGCCCAGCGACCAAGCCATCTGGCCTCCTCGCGCCACACACCCCACTTGCCTTGACCTGTCATTACACGGGGGATTCTCATGCCGCTCACGACACGGTTCCCGGTCAGCTCCGCCGCGTCTCGTATCTCTTTGTCCATCATGAGGGCATTGGGCGGCAAACGTAGGGCTCTTCGACTGGCCTGCAGAGAGGAGTCTCGAAGACTTGTCCGTGAAGGCTGGTTTCTCTGGTGGTGGGCTACGGGTGTGGCCATGCCATCCGGTGATTTCGGCGCCTTGAATTGAGCCAATATGCGCTCCTGAACCACGTGTTGGAGGCTGCTTAACGCGCGCATGATGACGTCCCAGTGCTGGCCTACGACATCAACGCGGTCATCGACGTCACTACACAGCGACGAAGATAGGAGGGATTCAACGCCCAGGTTAGAGTCGATGAAGGCCCATCCTGCGCGACGATCCGAGTCCAGGGACGAACCAAGAGAGTCCTGTCCAGGGGCAGAGGTAGAGAGGTGCACAGGAGTCCTGGTATTGGCACTCCGGGACGAAGGTCTTATGCTCGGGGACGTGTTCGATATGGGAAGGTGAAGGATAATGGTAATGGCATACATGGGGCTCTTTCGCACGTGGGACGGGTATGGCGGCTTGGGGGCACCTGGCTTGATAGTCGTGGACGGAAAAGGGAAGCCATTGCCTTTTGGCAGTGAGCTCTGCGGCGTCGGTGTGCGGTCTTCGTGATGCTCGTCCGGTATGGTGACAGAGAACATGCGTGTGATGAAGATGGTCCGTCGCTTGGGCTCTTTCGGTATGCTTTCGGACGAGTCGGCGCGGGGCATGTCGGTTGGGAGGTTGGCGGGAGTGAAAGATTTGGCGAGATGGCTTCTGCGGCGGAGGCCCTCGGCGCGGCCCAGAGAGCTTGTAGCATCCTGTACGCTGGTGCCCAGTATGGAGGCATCGGCGGGCTTGGTGTCGAGGGGCACAATGTGGATCTTGTTGGAGTTGCCGCGGTAGTTCATGGCGAGGTTGCCGAACATGCAGTCGAGGCAGATGTTGGCCAGGTCGGTCGACTCCTTGGCCCGCGCCTGGGCTTTGGCCTGGACCTGGGCGTGCTCGTCGATGTTGGGCATGGAGGAGATGGAGCTGCCGCGGGTGCGTATGCGCGTGAAGCCGGCGACCGTGGGCGAGCGCGGCGGCGCTGTGGGCTCCGTGACGAGCGAGGAGCGGCGGGCATGCAGTCCGCCAAACGTCGGCCCTGCCGTGCCCGCAGCGCGCGCGCGTGTCGTGGGCGAGGTGGGCGGGTCGGCGCGCGGCGGGGCAGGCTTGGAGTCGAACAGAATGGCCTTGGGCATGGCGGGCGTCTCATCCTGGGCGATGATGATGCGGCAGTCGCGCGGGTAGTCGAGGTCGATCTCCGGCAGAGGCCCGTCGTGGGCGCTGCCGGGCGTCAGGGGCGCGGCGTGGAGGGGATACGGCTGGCCCTCGGGGTGGTAGAGAGTGCTGGTCTCGGGGTACAGCAGATGGCGCGTGTGGCTCTCCTCCGTCGCCGAGTCGAGCACCGTCGGCGGCGGCGCGTGGGCGGCGCTGGAGCCTTTGCGGCTGCTGAAGAGGTGTCCGATCATGTCGAGAGGGCGCATTCCGCCATGGAAGCGCGCCCGTCGTCTTAGCAGTGGGCGGGCGAGGTGTCGTGGGTGTGGCGGGCTCGAGCAGTGCGGCGTGCTGGTTGACCCATGGCAGTCTGCTTCTCTAGTAACTCTACTGCACTGCTACACTCGACGCGGGGCAATGGACGAGGGGTGCTACGACTACGACAACAAAGAGAAGCGTGTCGCGTGGGCCGTGTTAGTGAGGGGAGCGCGCGTAGCCTAGTGGATTGCTGCCGGTGCTTAGTTATAGAAGGGCGGTGAGCACCGTGGGAGAGGATTCTCGACTATCGTGCACATCACTGCTGCAAGTCACCCCCTCCACCATGGCTCCACCCAAGAATTCTCGACATCACACGTCCCCCAAGTGGGACGGCCAGCCCTCTCGTCGACGCGGTGATAGGTTTCAGTCGAGACAAAGCGCTCCATTGTCCTCCGTCATCACAAGAGCTACATGTCCGTCGACGGCCATCAACGCCTGTGGCTGCGCATCTCCCGGGGTACCCCAGATCAACGCATGCACGTCTTTCTAAACCGTCCTGGTGCAATCCGCCGCCTCGCTTTGACAGGCTGACGCACGCCAACCCGCACTTTCGATATCAACAACTTGCTCCGTGTCGGACCACCTCCGCGGGCGATTGTTGTCGGGGCGGAAGGGACTTGCCTTGCTTTCTCATTGGGACAAGAAATTGCCCAGCAGACAGCAATCACTGTCAACACTCCCTTACTGGACGATTCAACGGGCTCTTATCGAGATTGTGTAACCGTGTCCGCGTGTGTGCATGTACGTGTATTGAGGAATCTCGGTGTTGATAGCACCCCAAAGCATCTCATGATAGTCTCCCACCCACGTCAACCTAGGAAAATCCTGAACAGGTCTGCAGCCTACATGAACATGGAAAATGCAAAGTAGGCAACCTAACGTCGATGTAGGCTCGAGACCTGCTTATTTATCTATTTCTTGTATGAGGTGCACCTGCTGATGCACTGACCATCGTCATGCAGTGCAATTGCTATTCCCTATACTTTTGCACTTGACCAGCTGCTTCCACACCCAAGGCATTCTCCCGGTTTCCATCACCGTGGTATGATGTCTAACTTCCGCGATACGCGTCATTTGTCAAGCTGGGAAGAGATCGACACATGTTGGTGTCTTCGGAACAACGTGATGCGACGTTCCGAGCCTCCTTCTACTGCTGGATTATCCGCCGGTATCGGGTGACGATCTTGGGATCTACCCATGATAGATACAGATGCATAGTGAGGCGATCTAGGAGATCTTGACGCTGCTGGTTCCAACAAAGTAATACCGGGCGTTTAACGCGCGACCAGAGACTCCGAGACGAGTGATATGTCTCAGATACACTACACCGCCTCTCTTGCCGGTTAGCATTGCCTCGACGCGCATAGCCATGACAAGGCTGTTAAGGTGTACTCTACCACTTTATGGAGGTGACTTACAACTCTAGCCCCAACACTCTGCTTGACGACATTCCTAGTTGAACTATGTAGTGGCAGAAACCACCACTCAGTCTCCACACCGCCTAGCCGCCGGCATGGCTTCGTCGTCGCCAGTATGAAATGCCTCACTCCAAGCCGCAAAGGAGAGCACACCCATGTGACTACATGACATTGCAGGATCCCGCAAAAGCGGTCCACCCCTTATTCTACACCAGACTCATCATTGCTACGCTAATGCTGCTATTCCAAATGGCCATGCAGCGATCATATCAAAACATGGGTGAAGTACATGAACGTATATCAGCCCAGAACCACTTTCACGCACTCAGTCGTGGCCCCTCAAACTCAGCGTTTACTCCCTCGACAAAACCCTAACCAACGACAACTCTATCCGTTCTTTGGCCCCTAGTAGCCTTGATAATGTGTCTCCACAATATGTCTCTTCACAAATCGACTTCTCCAATTGCCGAATCTTCTCACATCACTCTCACAATCTCTCACGAAACATCTGTCGTGTTTCTCGGTGTCGGCATGATATGCCACACTGTCGCGCCTTAAACAGACCCTGCACTCCTCACAACCAATCGGAAATTCATATTGGTGGCATTCCAGCTTGTAGCGATTAGGAAACCATTGACTACAGACAGTACACTGTTCGCGATCGAGGTTCGCCTGTGCTGAAAAGGAGTATGTGCCCGTGGATGGGTTGACTGAGTACTCTGCCATCGCAATGGCATGGGTGTCGCTTGACGTCTCCAGCACTCGGACAACGGACTGTGCCAGGTCGTTTGATTGTGTGTTGGAGATGTAGCCGTTGCCATGATTTGCGTAGCGTACGAGAGCCTGGCCAGGATCATAGCGTACGTGTGGATCGTCGTCTACGAAGTGAGCGTGACGAGGGCGAACGCGTGCGCTGATATGACGATGCACGCTACTGCGATCTGTGGAATCACTGTTATAATTGTATGTGTGTCGGTGTCGCGGGCATCGGGTTCCAGTGCCTCTGAACCACTCGCCGCATAAGCACAGCGGCATGTTGAGTCGACGCGAAATGTAGCAGGCTAGATCAGAAAATTCGGATTCCTGAGAACCATACTCTGTTATTATACAGCCTGCTCCATGACCTTACAGACTACCAGGCTGCATACACGAGTGGTCTTGATGGCCTGCAGGTTCACCGGACGAGACCGGCCCAATAGCAGACGGGGCGGCAGGGAACAGCCAATGGGTGAGAAGAAAGAAACGCATATCGACAGTGAGATAGTAGAGAAGTCTCTTGACCGGTTTGCTAAGAGATGAGATCAGGCAACGTGGCTGCTGATTTTGTAGTCCAGCCTTGTGTGATATCGAGATATGGCTAATGTGTTAGATGTAGGAAGCTCCAAGGACTGTACACAGCAGCAGCCTAGGTGGATGCGTGACAGAAACAGACTTTACAACTTCGGATATCTGAAAATGGGTTTAGCTGTGATTAGACGATGTCGTTTTGGTGCGATGGACTGTGTTGTTTCTCTGAGAGCTTGGAGCGGTGTTGATCCTTAGGATTTCATACAAGCCGTAATTCTCGCCCAATTACGATCTTCTCTGCAGAAATCACGAACAGAAAGTGCCGCTGAAGCATGAAGTTGCTGTCCTCTCTTAGCGACCTCAGGAGATTGTAGAAGAAGGGTGTAGGCACGTGCCCAGGCGACGAGCAGGTGAGTCTGGCGCTAGCGGGGAAGTTCTTGGCGCTTTACGAATTTCAAGAGATGGAGCTCTAGCTACGCGACCAACTTTGGCAACTCCGCGCAAAATACCGAACGATAGCCTGGCTCACAGCAAATACTACGAACCACATCCTTGAACCAAAACACACCACGGACTACCGCCAACATGAGGTTAACAACAGACCTCATCAACAATTCCCTGTCCTTCATCAACTGTCTCACGGAGCGTGAACTCGATCTGCGAGGTGCGTTGAAAAGAGCAGATACTACACTTGAGAGCTGAGTTGATATCAATATCGTATAATCTAGGTCACAAGATTTCCGCTATTGAGAACATGGGAGCGGCGCGAGTAAGTTGCATCATTGCTCCGAACATGGACTGCTATATTGACAAGAAGACAGGACAACGACGCCATAGACCTTACCGACAACGACATCGCACAGCTCGGCAATTTCCCGCTCCAACCTCGTCTCCGAACACTCTTCCTCGCGCAAAACCGCATCTCCAACATCCAACCCAACCTCTCGTCGAGCATACCAAACCTGCGCACACTAGTCCTTACCAAGAACAGGATAGCAGAGCTGGCCGACTTGGATCCGCTGGCGAGTTTCAAACAACTGGTATACCTGTCATTGATGGGAAACCCCGTCACAAGCAAAGAGGTACGTGCCTGACCTTGTTGAGCCATGAACCTTTGAGCCTAATGGTGCAAGCAAACTTGAGCCTGAAGATCGGAAACGGTGCAGGGTGAGCCACTTGTTGCGATTTGTCCGGCTCAGGATCGCATGATGGAGGCCATGATGTACAATCTGCTAACATTACACAGAACTACCGGTATTGGGTCATCTGGCGCTGCCCGACTGTGCGCTTCCTAGACTTTAGCAAAGTGCGGGATGTCGAGCGAAAGAAGGCCAAGGAGCTGTTTGGAACTGTCGAGGAGCCGACAGAACTTGCAAACCAGGTGTGTATCACGACCGTTTTCAAGGTTCTTCCGACTAATTCTCCCAGATCTCGAGCAACAGGTCCAAGGGCTTCGTCGTCCCCTCGTACGCAAACGGTGCCGACTCGGGCAAAGAGCGCATCTACACCGACGAAGAGAAGAAGCGCATGCGCGCTGCCATCCTCAATGCAAGCAGCTTGGCCGAGATGGCGAGGCTGGAGAAGGACTTTGCGGAAGGTCGGATACCAGCGCATATCCTCGAGGGTGGAGACCCTATGGAGACATAGGCGCTATACTATCCGGAAGTTTTGACGAGGATCAAAACGCACACACGATGATGGGTATCACATGTCACGACTGTGCAAAGCCCTGCGCATGCATGAGCAAGAGGGGCACGCAAGAACGGTAACGCACTGGAGGATTCTGCACGCACAGCATGAGACTTCGAAGGAACGCGCCAGCGTGCAATGGTTATAGGGGAGGCCTGGCGATGCCACAACAGTGATCAGAGCACGACACTGAAGCGCCTGAGTCAGAAGTAGATTGATCTGTAAGAATTGAAACAGACTGCTTTGCGCCACAAGGCGTTTCCCACCCATGGTATCGTAGTAATATACTCAGAACGCCGTGATGCCGTGTACAATCGTATCTCGAGCCTATGTTATCCTGTCGTCCAGACGAGACATGTCCTGATGGCTTCCTTGTTACCACCCCCTTCCCCTGCCACCGCGTCCCCCTCTGCCACCACCGCCTTGATGACCCTGCTGGAAACCTCCGCCCTGCTGACCTCCAGGTCCACCAGGGAAGCCGCCCATGCCCTGGCCCGCCATCTGCATGAAGGACGCAAAGTCCATCTGACTGGGGTCCATGCCTTGCTGCATCATCTCTTGCATCATCATCTGCATTTGCTGTTCGTTCATACCTCCAGGTCCCATAGCACCGCCCCCACCGCCGCCTCCTCCGGGCCCTGTTGGCGGTACACCACCCGGTCCCCCATTGCCCTGCGGACCTCCGCCCATGCCAGGCATACCAGGCATCGGTGCACCGCCCATCATCGCCTGCATTTGGGCCATATCGTTCTTCTGGCCCTGCAGCGTGTTGGCCATACTGACTTGTCTCTGACGATACAACTCCCATGTGAACTCATCGAAGCCGTAGTTGAAGTAGTCCGACTGGTCTTCGCCAGGTCGACGCCAGATCTTCTGCTCTTCCGCTAGATCGGCGTCGATGTCTACGCTGAGTATCTCTTTGCCTTGTGGAGGGTAGACGGGGTTGCCGTTGACATCGATGGTCGATGTGCGTTGCGCGGGGAAGGCGGTGCCTGAGAGGGCTGAGGCAGACAGTTGGGGGACAGTGCCGCCGGTTGTGGGAACGGTCTTTGGGGGCGCTTGTTGCGACGGTGTGGTTGAAGAGGCGGGTGGTGCTTCGATCTTTATGGCTTTGGATTCTTGGGGTGCTTGCGCGCTGGGCGGACGTGTCAGTAGGTGTAGTGACGGCAGGAATTCGAAGCTTGGAGCTGAATAGAAACTTACGTTGTGGGTTTGGGAGGTGCTGGCGCCTTCTCAATGATGATGTCAATGTCCTGCAGCTTCGTTAGAACTGGCGCAAGCTCTTTGTGAGGTTTCCGCGCGGCATACCGAGTCACTGTCTTCTTCATCGCCCGACTCTTCGTCCATTGGCTCATCACCACTGGAGTTGTCGTCCACCTTCTTCGCATCGTTGGTCTGCTGCGCGGCTGTCTCGTCGCCATACAGATCGTCGTCGGATTCGTCTGCCATGGTGCCGTTCTTTTCGATCCACCAGTCGAAAGGCGCGCCCGTATCAAATGAGCCCTTCCAAGGGATCACTTTGTACCCAACTCTTTCAAGTGCTCGTAGAACAGATCGGGCTTGCGCAAACCTCCGTGCCTTCTTTTCGCGGTTTCTTCCTTTGCCAGTGAATTCGCGTGTGGGAGTCGGGTGCTAGACGAGTATTGCCGCGATGCCTCTGGTGACGAACTTGAGCTTCTTTGAGTTGCTGGATGAGGGAATGATTAGCCGAGTCGACTGCACGCGTTTTGGCCTGTGCTGTTGCTGGCGCGCGCCGCCAAACAGACGCAGGCGATGTCCTTCACCCACCGACCCGTCTTCTGCACTTGCAACCACGCGCATTTCCACGCGCCGTGTCCTTCAACGTTGACCAAAATTTCATCAAGTCTCCCAGCGCAGAAACCCTGAGTATCGCCGCGACTTTGCTTCCGCGCATCCATTGCGAACGACTGCGTACACACGGCGCAATAGACCAAGGACAACGAAGGAGACTGGAACAAAATGGCGGGCTTTGGGCGATCAAACTCGCTGAGTATCAACACTGGCGGTGGTCTCTTGTATGTCTTCCCGCATTCCGTGTGAAGCGCTCTCCCGAGTAGCTACCGATGCTACTACCATTCCGAGTGCACGCCTCGCAGCCTGCATGGCAATTGCGACAGGTCAATGCAGTAGACTGACGATACCAGTGGAAATAATGCGAACCAAGGCCAGCAGGCCAGCCAGCCCCAGAGCAGCGGCGGGCTCTTTGGGTCTGCCCAGCAACCGCAACAAGCACAGTCGGGCTCGCTCTTCGGCGGCCAAGCTCAGGCTCAGACTCAGACTTCGCAGCCTGCAAGCGGAGGCCTGTTCGGCAACCTGAATAAGCCTGCTACAACGGCGCCTGCGAGCGGAGGGCTCTTCGGCTCTTCTACTGCGCAATCAACACAACCGCAGAGCGGAGGCCTCTTCGGCGGCGCATTAGGCGGAACCTCACAGAGCCAGACCCAAAGCACACCCCAATCCGGTGGCCTCTTCGGCGGCGCCCAGTCGAAGCCATCACTGTTGTAAGTCATCATGGCTGCTCGTCGTGACACAAGCTAACTGAAAGTCCTAGCGCCTCGTCAACACAGCAGACAACAACACCCTCTTTGTTCGGCAACAACGCCTCAACCCAGCAAAATCAAACATCGACCCCTTCGCTCTTCGGCTCAACTCAACAGCAAGCTCAGCCCCAGCAGCAGAATACTCTATTCGGTGGCAGCATCAACACACAGAACAGGTCGAATACGCTCGGTGGCTCTACATTAGGAGGAAATCAGATGGGTTCAAGCGCACAGCCCGTTCAGATGACCCTCGACTCGATACGAGGGACCACGCGTTTCAACGACCTGCACCCCGAACTGCAAAACCTCATCCAGCAGTTCGATGAGGGCATCCAGCGCAAGGTCAACTTCTGCAGCCAGATTCGCGAGGCCCTTCCTGGCAGTGAAAAAGAGATTGACACCATTGCGCCTGACGTGGCCTACATCGAGACGTTCCTTTCCACCGTTGAAGTCGGCCTGGACAACGATTCCGCCAACATTGCGCATCTCAAAAGCCTCGTCAAGAAGGATGCCGACGACGCGACCCTTAGCTTCCGTGCCATTGAGAATCAGCGGCTGCCGGCGCAGTTCCACTACCGCAACAACGCCAACCTCACAGCGTCGAGCGCAAAGACTCCGGCGACCAGTGCTCTGGACGATGACGACCCGACGAAGCCTGTCGACCTCATGGGTTACTTCAACCGCCGCACCGATGAGCTCGGCCGCACTCTAGACGTCTACCAGCGCCAGATTCGCGAAATCGAGACCCACCTCCGAACGATGGAGGCCGGCACCGTGGAGAAGGCTCAGCAACTGACCGGCAGTCGAAGCGCACCACGCGACCAGCGTCGTGAGCTGGTGGAAGCGCTTAAGGCCATTGAGGGTGCCATTCTCGACTCTGCGAAGAAGGTAGGACAGGTCAGGGACGATGTGACGAAGCAGACGTTGGGAAACGTTGGTGCCGCCCTGCTTTAAAGCGCATCATGGAACAATGACTTTGTCTTTGGAGTTTGTAGCATTAAAGACTTGGGAAGGTCACTTCGTATAACATGGCTCAGGCGCAACGATTTCCTGGACAGCATCCGAAACATGTACATATTTGGACGAACTTGCAAAAGCACTAGATACCCCCGAACGTTGAGTCGTCCTACCTATGTGATTTTTAATTCCATGCCCCAGGCCTCTTTACACGGCTTATTGAGCATGTACTCCGACCCCCTATGCTGTGGTTAGGCGGAATTTCATCGCGAACCGCTTTGTCACGCCTGACGTTAGTCAAGCTTTTTAATGCTGAGTAAACTCCACCGGCGGAACATGCGCCCCACCAAATCGGAACCAGAGGAGGCTATGACGTCTCCACCGTCGTCCAGCTGCGTGCTTTCCATGACAGCTATATAGCCTTGATATATCTCTGTAAGCTCAAATTGCAGCTCTATGTTCTCACGCGCATTGCGACTCAGGGCAATCACGAAGTGTTCTCCAATCGGAATAAAATATACTCGGCCATTCTCCATTACTTCGACTCGCGGAGCCATGGACAAAGCACCCCAACAAGACAGCAAGGATGGGAAGGGATCGATCCTCGACTGGGTAAGTGATATTGAAGTTGTTAGCCAGCTTTGCAGACAGATCCACTGGGTATTGGGTTTGGCATCAGTATACTGACTCTAAAACAAAAAGGTCAAACCTGGTGACAAGAGCGGCGAGTTCAAGCGCCAAACATCTGTCTTCAGGAACTGGATCCAGAACAAGCCTGATGCCGAATTCCCAGCTGAGAAAGGTCGATACCATCTCTACGTCTCCTATGCTTGTCCGTGGGCCCACCGCACACTCATCGTGCGCCACCTAAAGGGCCTCGAGGACATCATCTCCTACAACAGCGTTCACTGGCACATGGCGGAGAAGGGCTGGCGATTCGCAACTTCTGACGAAAAGATCTCGGGTAACACCACGCCGGATCCGATTCATGAAGGATACACGCATCTACGTGACATTTACTTTGAGCAAAACCCAGACTACGAAGGACGCTTCACGGTGCCGACGCTGTACGACAAGAAGACGAAGAAGATTGTCAGCAATGAGAGCGCGGAAATCATAAGGATGCTGTACACCGAATTTGACGATCTCGTCGAGGAGAAGTACAAGAAGGTGGATCTGTTCCCTAAGGACTTCCAGAAGGACATCGAGGCCATGAACGACTGGGTGTATAACGATGTGAACAATGGTGTTTACAAGTCGGGCTTCGCTACGTAGGTCACACCAATTCGCTCACATGACGTGGAATGTGATATACTAACGATGTTGCAGCACTGAGGACGCATACGCAAAGGCCGTGACACAGCTTTTCAAGTCTCTGGATCGTTTGGAAGAATCCTTGGCCCAGTCTTCCACGCCATATCTCTTGTCAAGCCCACAAGTAACGGAAGCCGATGTCCGGCTTTTCACCACCATCATTCGCTTCGACCCTGTCTACGTTCAGCACTTCAAGTGCAACATCCGCGATATCAGATCGGGCTACCCACATCTTCACAAGTGGATGCGCCATCTGTACTGGGTACGTGATCTTCTGGGATCATATCCCCTCTTTCGATGATTATTATGGGACACTCTTGCTAACACGAATGGAA